CGAACACCCAGAAGGTGAGGATGAGGAATGTGGGCGCATGTGGCTGGGGGAGGGGGGCAATGCGCCGTGGTACTGGGGAAAGGGGAAGGCACAGGGCAGGGCGCATAGCTTTCCCATGGCGAGAATAAGGCCCACATAGAGAAAGAGAGGGAGGGCGGGAGATGCCAAGATCTGAGCGAGAGCAGAAGGAAAATGAGCCCTGAATAGGAGCCTTGTGTGTGGCCCCATGGTGCTGACTCACCAAGACACAGGGGAAGGAAAACACGCTGGGGCTGAAGAAGGGGCCTGTGTGCTGTGGTCGCCGCTCTAAACCACCCTACCACCCTGAGGACACCCTGTCTGCTCTGAGGCCCCACGCGTTCTGGAAGGCTCTGCTTTGGGCTGGGTGCCCCGGGGGAGCGGGAGAGTGGGTACCGCACAGAAGGGAGAGGGGCAAGTCTTTTGGGAATGCCAAAGGCCCCTCCTGGGAGAGCTCTGTGTTCGGAGTTCAGGTGGGGAAGGAGGACCCGAGGCGGAGGGTCTCTGTCTCCAAGCCTTCAGCCGCCCCCACCTCCACGGGTAGGTCAGACTCGCAGGCGCGGGGCACAGAGATGCTGGTGGCTTCGGCGGCTTCTTGTCCACACCCGAGGAGCAAGGCAGGCCTCATGAGTAAGAGCTTCCCGGAGCTGATGCTAGACAGATGGTAGCACAGCCCGGGGACAGAAGCTCTCCCGGTTCCCCACGCCCCGCCTCACCTCAGCTGTCAAACCGGTCCAGGGACCTGAGGACGGGATTTTTGTGGCAACAAGTACGGCAGGCAGCCCGAGGCCCGTGGGCAGAGGATGAGGCTGGGAATGCGGGGCAGCCCAGGTGAACGAGACCAAAGCCCGGCCGTTGTAGAGAGGCCGGTGAGAGGAGGACTTCTTGGTTCCAGGTCAGCGCTGGGAGGAGCGGTCAGTGCGGGCTGAAGAGACAGCCTGGGCTCTGCCATTCACGAGGCCTGTCAGCTTGGGCCTCGTTCTCCTAACCTGTAACAGGTCAGAGCTAGAACCCAGGGTGGGAAGGGGCCATGTCCGGTGTCTGAGCTTCCTGCTAGCTCTGACATTTGAGGACTCCAGGTGGGTCGGCAAGTCGTCTTTCTCCTTCTTCTTCACCAAAACCCTCAGGCCTTCGGGGTCCTGTTCCTGCTGAGAGGCTCCAGGCTTACTCCAGTAATCCCAGGGGCTTCATACTTAGGTGCATGACTGACAGTAAGCGACTACTCCTAACTCCCCAAATGTATTATTACCGTTTTGACTGTCGTGTGGCCAGGAGAAGGGGAGTGGACTTGAGGGCCGAACGGGGGCCGGTCTGAATCCGAGCCGTGTCACCAGCTCTCAGCCCTGCTCTGCTGTGGGCCTCAGGCGGCCCTGATTTACCTCAGGGGGTGAGAAAGAATCATTGCTCCCCGAGTAGCTGTGTTGTTTAAAGGAAGTAACACGGAAGGGCACCACATAAATACTCCGAAAATGTGCCTGCCCTCCCTGAGAGGCCTTAATCATGGCCCGAAGGAACACAAGAGAGTGTGAGACGGAGATTGGGAGGGGGGAGGCTTACCAGGGGTGTACCCTTGGCTTCCACCGGAACGGACAGAGGGGAGGAAAAAGGGAGGGAAGGCTGAGCTGTGGGAGTCTCTCAGTAGATGGCTCAGCCAACCCTACAGGGGTTTTGAAGCAGGGAATGACCCTTCAGTGTTCCCTTGATTTGGGACAGGAGGCCAGGTTTTTGTCTTTTTGTTTGTTTTGTTTTTTAATTTTACTTATCTGAGAGAGAGCAGGAGCAGGGGGTGGGGGGTGAGGAACAGAGGGAGAGGGAGAAGCAGGCTTCCCGCTGAGCAGAGAGCAGGATGCGGGGCTCGATCCCAGGACCCTGACATCATGACCTGAGCTGAAGGCAGCCGCCTAGCGGACTGAGCCACTCAGGCGCCCTGGGGCCAGGTCTTTATACGGCACGCCAATCAGTCTTTGGACATGAGCTGCCCCTTGAAGGAGAGGTGACCTTGGTCAAGTTAATTTCAGTTCAGGCAATTCCTAGAAGGGGCCTATAGCCGAGGGCTGTTTACTGTCAGCATTTCCGGCAGCTAGGGAAATAAATCCTTCGTTTCTTTTTTTTCTTAAGATTTTATTTATTTGTGAGACAGAGAGAGAGCATGAGTGGAGGGAGGTGCAGAGGGAGAAGCAGACTCACCACTGAGTAGGGAGCCCCCCCCCACAACGCGGGGCTCAATCCCAGGACCCTGAGATCATGACCTGAGCCAAAGGCAGATGCCAAACTGAGCCCCCCAGGCGCCCCTAAATCCATTTCTGATGGAATCTGAGTGTCTACCGTGTGGTTAGTCTGTTGGACTCTTGTCAAATTAAGTAGGTGACTGACTCCCCAGGGATAAGGCCGATCTTGTTGCAACACTTCCTAGTAATTTCGTGGAGGCAACCACTTCACAGTGGCATGGAGAGCTACACGATACCCCCGTGCTCCCCACTCTAATGGCAAAGCTGCTTTATATCCCTCCAAGGCAGTAAGTCACTCGCAGGTGTCCCAGAAGTCAGACTCGTTCGACGCTTTCCAAAGCTTGATGTTCATTTTTCTTTTGCTGATGGAGGTTTTGAAGGTAGGAGGGAACCCTTATGGGGAATGCAGTATTTTTGCAAGACGGTCCTTTCTCTCTTTGCCTTTTCCTAGGTCTTCCCTACAAGTTACTGGGGGAATGTTTTGCAGAGTGCTGTGCCCCTGGGAACTCCTTCCACCAGCCCCAAGCCCTTGCAGAACGCACACCACATGAAACAGCATTGCATTCTTGGGGACTCCTACTGCCTCTGTCTCTGACCACAAACGAAGACTAGGACAAGCCAATTGAGACATAATGCAAACACAGGGAGATACTGCAGAACCCCCCCAGGTAAAGAATGCTTTGGAAAGAGGAGAAAAGACATTTGCTCCTTTTCTAGTAACTTTTTCCTGCCCACCAAGAGCTCTGTGTGCTACCATAGGGAGAGACAGAGGGAGAGGAGGGAGAATCTCAAGCAGGTTCCACGCCCAGCTCGGAACCCTACATGAGGCTTGATCTCAAGATCCTGAGATCTTGACCCAAGCTGAAATCAAGAGTTGGAGGCTCAATGGACTGAGCCACCCAGGCGCCCCTGTTTTTGTTCAACTTATCTGACCTGATAAAGGTCTCCTGGCATTGGTTAGATCTGAGAATCCACTCCTGGGGGGGGGGGGTTTGTTAGGGCGAGTGGAAGGAGCAATGTGGTGTCCTGTAGGGTTCACACCGGGTCCATCCTAAAAATCAGCCCAGGTACTCACCTAGAGCCTCACTTGGGCTACGGAATCAGACTCCCTAGGGCTGGGGCCTGGGCACGGCCAACAGGCACCTCAGGAGAACCCAGGAAACACAAGTAGTGGAAAGTGGGAAGCCCTGGGGACTTCAATCCAGGCTGGCACTTACCAAGGGCCCTTGTGCGAGCCTCTGGCCCTCAGCGATCTCATCTGCACAGGGGACATAATATGGTGCTTGGACCCAAGTAAGCACTCTTGGCTCTGAATATCATTGAGGTTCCGGCAAACCAGATTCAAGAGTTTAAGACATCTCCGCAGGTCAGAGGCAAAGAGCAAGTTCTTGTGAAAGAACAGGTAAGGGCTGAGGCGCTGTTTCTCAAAATGGGAGCCTCAGGCCACCTGCATCAGCTGGCCCCTAGGCCCAATTCTCAGGAGTCCTTATTTTGGAAGGCTTCTCAGGTTACAGTAAAGTTTGAGAACCACTACCCCAGTCTCCTTTCTCCTCTGCTTTTACCAATGAATTGGCCATTGATAACACTAGCAGATGGGTGCTCTCAAGTTTTCTCATCTGGTTTTACAAATAACTCCCATGGAACAGTGCTCATTGCCTATTTTGGACTCATGATCATGAGAACAGATACAATTTTGAAGCCAGCGTTTCAAGACATTTGAAGTTGTTTGAAGGACCAAGCATCAGAAGAGCACTTTATAAATTAATTATATATATATATATATATATATAAATTAATTGACAAGGCTCCTTCCGGGGAAGATGGCGGAGCAGGAGGATCCTAGGCTCACCTGTCCCACAGATACACCTAGATAACACCCACATCAGTATAAATAACCCAGAAAATGACCCAAAGACTGGTAGAGCAATCTCCACAACTAAATGAAGAGAAGAGGCCACATCCAAGAGGGTAGGAAGGGCGGAGACGTGGTCTGGAGCCAAAGAGACCTGCAGGACTGTCCGTGGGAGGGAGGGGCGCTCTGGGCACAGAGAGGGGAGAGGGGGAGACCCCACGCCAGGCATGAGGGACCCGCACTGTGAAGACAAGGCAGCATTGCTGACAGTGAGGCTGTTATGGAAAACAGATATACCCGGTGTTTGCTGAAATGATCATTAACTGGCTTAAATGGTGGAAACTTGACATATGTAAACATCCCCACGGGCTCCACATCTCTTGCACATCAAAGGCGTTCTCAGGTGCTTCTGTCTGCCTACAGCTTGCGCTGGCTCACAGTGCCGCACCTCACCACCGGACTAGGAGACAAGGGATACATTAGTCACTTGTAGAATGCAAGGGCAGGACAAGATCAGGCACTCTTCAGCTCGAGTACATGAATCATGGATGGCTTCAGGGTCTTTGGATCCTGGGAAGCCATCAATCACATTCTGCCTGTTAGTATATCCATTTTTCTGGGAATGGAGTCTAGCATTTCTTAGATTCTCAAAAGGCCCAGAACCCCTTTAAACCCCTCCAGGACTGGATCACCGCAAAGGCTTCCTTCAGCTCTAAGGTTCTCAAGAACCAACAGCCCAGCTCCTTTTGGAGTCTAACCTGGACAGGTCACTGACTTCACCTGGTTTTCGAAAGCCATGGGCGTGCGTACTCCCTCGACACCTGCTCCTTCCCAGACAAAACAGGCCCGGTTGTGCAACAGCCTTCACTTTGTACAAACAAGATTAGATTTTCCCCAGACAGTATGATTTAACTTGTTTTAATGTAGTCTGCTATAAAAATGGATGAAGACTTCTGCATGGCACATTGGGCTTTACAAATGAGAATGACTAGTTAATGCTTGTGGTATGCACTGCGCATCCATCGGCACCTGGTGACTAGCCATCTAGCATCCACAACATGGGTTAGTACCAAAATTGTGAATCGTGGAACTTTTACTTAGCACACACACACGATCTACAGCAAACTTAAATACCAATCTATAATACCTAGCTGGATTATTGGATCCATTGCAGTATTGTGCTTATTTATCTTAGAAGATAGGCAACTAGCAAAAATACACATTTCTTTTGCATCTCCCCACCCCCATATTACACTGTAAAAGAAATACATTATTCAGTGCACTTCCTAAGAAATAAACATCCTTATAGTATCTCTCTCTCTCTCTCTCTATGTATCTATGCCGAAACAAAGGGAAGAGTACAATGCAAATTTTAAGATTACCGTTTAAAGCAAGAGAGGTAATAACACTCTGGGACCGTAGCCCCTCTCCTGTTTAGGAAGGTCAGCTATTTTATCACTTCATTTGGCCGTGCGCGGGAATGAAGTTTAATGCATGATTGCTTTGGGCAGTTTATGAGATACCCCGTTCACCATTTGGTAGACATCCTGGGGCATGAGGAGTATTTTAATTTTTGATGTATTGGCCTTAATCAAACCCTAAGCCCTGGAGACACCAATTGTGATTTATACATTGATCTCCATCACCGGCCCGTCCCCCATCAATTCATACTGGATTAAGAGAAAACAGATTTAAATTACAGCAGGAGGACAGGGCTGCTGGGTAGGTGTTGGCTAGGAAGAATGTATGAGAGGACACCAAGGCCTCTCCATCCCTGTGGACACAAAGTCCTAGAACTACCTTGTCTGAGCTGGGTTGCAGAGTCTTGTTTGGAAGATGGGGATCGTCCTTATATCCTATGGCCTTTGTCAGCTGTACTAGCCTACACGTTGGAAAGAGGGGAGGTGTCTGGCCTCACAAACTCACAATGATGGAAATGACAGAAGTTTCTAGAATGAAAGACGTTGCAACTTGGCAGCTTGTGAGCTAGACCCAGCTGCAGAAGTGTTTAACCAGCAGTTTCAAATTGTTTTTGAGTCTGTTTTGATATTTAAAAGTGAGAATGTTTCTATGAAAATTTGGATTTCACAAGAATTTGAGGAGCTGGTAACCTGGTCTAGCACTACTGCATGGCAACAAGCAGCTGGGGCTGAACAGCAGGGGCCCTTGCCTATCAGAGGGGGCTCAGGCACTTCAGTTTGCTAGGCCTTCCCCCATCCCAGCTGACTTACAGCACTTGATTGAGTGACCTGTTTCAGTCATTTAGATGGCCAGTTGAGTTTTGTGACACTGCGGTTTTTGGCCCTGGCATTTTAGGACGCTGACGACCTGACTTCATCTGGAATTTCCGCCCCCCATCCCCATGGACAAGATTCCTCCTTTGACCGACTGGGTCCCAGCCACACTGAGTTGCTGTTAGGTAATCTTAATGTGCATTTCTACTCACCCTTTACGCTCTATTGCAAACTCCAAAGATACAATCACACTAATATTTATGTGTTTAAGTGTGTGTGTGTCAGACACGCAAAGGGCTGTGTATCTATACAGATCTATGTATACTTCCATTTAGGGAAAAGTTAATTTGGTTGCACAGATACACCAAGTGCTGGCAGCTCCGAGAGTAAGTGTAACAATTTGGTAAAACCTATATAATTCTGACTTATAATATTACAGAGACAATGAGCTTAAGTTATTGCTTTTTGATTACATAATAAAGATCTCATCCTGTTGCAAAACTTTTTATACAGAACGAGTAACCATTTCCTATTCAAGTAATAGCAATTGGAATCAGAAGTTCCTTACACAACAGTAACGCCTGAAGATATTTTTTGAATGGAGATGTGATTTCATTCTATTCAAGGACTGCTGCGGGAAACTGGGAGTGACTTAATTTTTCAGAAGTACGAGGAAATCAGCACCCCCCACTGCCTCCTGCCCGGGAGGGCTTCTCAAGGGCTCTATAGAGCTCAGCTCAGTGGTGAGGTCACACCCACCTTTGGATTCCCCTTCTGACGCAGCCTTGTTTCTGAACCCAAAGCTTGTATTAAAAACAGTAAAAGAGGTTTAAAAGCAGTGTTGTTTTTTTAACATTCAGGATTCACAGAGGATCTCATTTTCTGCAATTAGATGATCCATTTTGTGTTTTCGCTGCAGAATCACATTCGCATGGCAGTCTTATTTCAGGCACTTTTGAGACATGTTCATCTGGAATAAAAATCTGCACGAACCACTTCTGCATAATTCACAATGAGTGTTGAGCGATTCCAGTCCCAAAATAGACAGCAAATCACCACCTGGTCCTCAATTAGCTTTCTCCATCACAACGAGATGGTGACTGCTGAGCTTGAGATGTCTTTGAGGTGCCCTTCCAGCTTCAGTACAAAGGTGTGAGGCATAAAAAGCCAAACGACTCAGTTTCTACTTAAAAAAAATACAAAAAGGCGAAATACACTAAATGGACTCTACGGATGGTTTCAGCTACTGTCAAAATAAATAACATGATCTGACTCAACGGTTGGACTCCGAGCTCTTGGACGAAATCTGGTGGAATGTCAGCCGTGGAAACTCCCGCGAGGGACTAGCTGCTGGTAGGCAGGAGTATCTCCACGTCCTTGCCGTTAGCCACGACAGCCGTGGAAGAGCAGCTGACGGCTAGGTCTTCCGTGGTGGCCAAAGAGGAGGCCTGGGAATGAGTTTTGGTCAGTGGAGTGGTGGTGGATGGAGAAGGGGTGAGGCCAGGCTTTTTGGGTGGGATGGGTGGAGGGTTTCCTCTCTCAGCCCTGGGGATGGTGGGGGACTTGATCCCTGGAGACAGAGGGCTCAGCGGACTGGACACTTTCCCTGGAGTGGGGGAATGGCTGGTGTCGCCTCTTGGGCTGGCAGTGTTGGCCAGATTCCGATAGTCTGTGCCAAAGGGAGAGCTGTTGGGGGAGACAGGCTTGATTGGCCCTTGCTGGCTAGTGAATCTGGAGAGCACCTGAGTGACGGTGTTGCGGGCCAGCTGCTTGGCGGCAGAGTTGTCTATGAGGGTGGGCGACAGGTCCCTGGATGGGGGGCTCTGCACACCACTGGCCTGCTGGTCCTGATCCGCTTGGGACTGAAATTTGTGCCGAGCCGCCTGGAACCGCTGGTTGATCCCCACTTGGTAGGATGACTGGTAGCCGGGGCTGCTGGCTGAGGACCCCAGCAGGCGCTTAGTCAACACTGGGGAGGAGCAAGGAGAGGATGTGAGGGAGGAGGAGGCCGTGCTGCTGGGAGACAGGGAGCCCCCACTGGACGGGAGGTGAGCAGGTGCTGGGCCAGGAGTCTCGATTCCCACAGGACACCCGCCGTTCTCCACCGCTTTCTCTTGGGCCGACCCCACAGGCCTCTCTCGAGGAGGCACTTGGTTTTCGCCGCTGCTGCCTACCACCAGCTCCTTGGCAGTCTGTACCTCTGGCTCCAAATGGCCGTTGGTTTTTGCGAACGAGTAAGCAGGTGTGGCGGGACCAGGCGGCCCGGCGGCGCTCACCTTGGCTGCGCTGCTCCCCTGGCTTCTCTCCGTTTGGCAGAACACAGACACCAGCGCGGGAGGCTCAGTCACCGTGCCTTTCGACACGGTCACCGGCCTCCTCGCTTGCTCAGGAGGGCTACTGTGCAGGTGAGAAGCCTCCAGAGCCTTCACTATCTTCTTTAGGCTTTCCATCTCTTCCTTCAGGGTTTTGGTCCGGTTCTCTTCTCGGTTCAGTTTTGCCCTCAGTTGTTCTCGCTCGATGTCGAACTCGGACAGCTGCTTCTCCACCTGCGCCTCGGTCTGCAAGCCCCGCCTCCTCTCGGCCGCCAGTTCCTCCTCGAGCTTACTCGCGCGGCTCTTCTCCTTCTCCAGCTTCAGGCTCAGCTCGCCGGCCTTCTGCCCCTCCTCGGCCGCCTTGCCCGTGGCTTTCCTGCACTCGAGCGCCAGCAGGGACGACAGCTGCTTGTGACGGCAGCGCTCCTCCTCCAGCTGACTGGACAGCTTCTTCTGCTCTTTCTCGAACTTTTTCACCTGGGACTTCTCAAATTCCAGCTAGAAGAGAATGCCACCGGACAGCCTGATTAGGGTAAGACCACAAAGAGAGCGGTTGCAAAACACCCCGGCGGGCTCTGGTCTGGCGCACGGCTGCCCCGCACGCCGCGAGCTTAGCTCCCGTATCTCCGAAGCATCGGAGCCCCTACCACCCGAACGTGCGCACTAGGGTTTAACTTTCTCTGCTGATTTCGGAGGCACTTCTAGTTCTTACGTTGGCGGCGGCGGGAATCCGTGTTGCAGGTCTGCAGAGGGGTCAGAAGATCAGAACCGCTCAGCACTGATAACAGAAAGCCGCACACAGCGGGTTTCGTGATGAATGCGGATGAAAACAAAACTATTCATTTATTCATCTTAACTCCAGTATAGTTAACGTAGTGTTCCGTCAGTTTCAGGGGTACAAGACAGGGCTCATCATCCTAAGTGTACTCTTAAGAAAACAAAACTTTTCAAGTTTCAGTAATCATTCTTTCTGGTCTTAAAAACAAACAAATAGTTGCATTTAAACTGTACTTTTGACTCTGAAAAACAAACTGAGGGTTCTAGAGGGGAGGGGGGTGGGAGGATGGGTTAGCCTGGTGGTGGGTATTGAGGAGGGCACATTCTGCATGGA